GCCTGTAGCGTTGCATGGGGTTGTGCCCAAAGAGCAGGACCTGGCACTTGGCCTTGTTGAGCCTCATAGAATTGGCCTCAGCCCATCGGTCCAGCCTGTCCAGGTCCCTTTGCAGGGCCATGCTACCCTCCAGCAGATTGATGCTCCCACCCAGTTTGGTGTCATCTGCAAACTTACTGAGGGCACACTCAATCCCCCCATCCAGATCATTGATAAAGATACTAAACAAGACTGGCCCCAAAACAGAGCCCTGGGGAACACTGCTTGTGACCGGCCGCCAACTGGATTCAACCCCACTCACCACCACTCTCTGGGCTCAGCCATCCAGCCGTTTTTTTACCCAGCAAAGAGTACACCTGCCTAAGCCACGAGCCACCAGCTTCCCTAGGAGAATGCTGTGGGAGACCCTGTCAAAGGCTTTACTAAAGTCAGGGTAGATGACATCGACAGCCTTTCCCTCAGACTCCAACAGAGTCAATTTTACCTCTGAAGACCTTGGACACATTGTAGGAATAACAGTGCCAGATACTCACTGTTTACGCTTGTAAAGAGCAAAGAGTACACAGTGACACTGATTACGAATCTCAAGGTCTTCCAGATAGTGCCTATCTGAAGTGCTGTAGGAAGTAGTCTGTACATTACAGTGGTTATATATTCAGTACCTGCCCCTTAACAAAAGTTATAGTCTGTTCTGTGTGCAAGTATCTGACAGATGCCAGAATGCAGAACCCTGAGCAGGCACAAAGTAAAGGGAAAAAGGGAGCACGCAAATTAAATAATCACACGAGTTCACAGCACTGTCTCATCCAGTCACAAGTAAAATAAAACAAAAGAATGATCCTTACCATCTGACTGGTCTCTAAAAGCATCTGTTAGCATTTTCTCTTTCAGTATGAGTCCTAGAGCTGCCTGACACATAACTTCATGTGGGGTTGCCTTTTTGGTTGGAAACAGTTCATCATGGTGCTGAGGAATGAAATTAGTGTGCACATTTCCAGCCTCAAACTGTGGGTGTCCTGACAGGCTCAGTAAGAAATCAATATTGGTGCTTAATCCTACAATCTATAAAGAAAAAGAAGCATATTGCCAAACTGAAGTTATGAATGAATATACAGCTTTCTGCTCAACTTATGTATAGATGAATCTTTCCTCAAACAGTACCATCAAAACACAAAGTTTATCAATAATGTAATTAATTCAACTGGTCTGTTTTATTACCAATGAAACCATTTCTTTCAAAAAGGAGAGGAAAAAAAAAAAAAAGAAAAAGAGTAGCTTTCTCAAAAGCACTCTGTTTTCAAAACGCTGCCTTTGCACACTGTGAAGTCAAAGAAAGTTTCCCAGCAACAGTAATGGGAGGTAATGTAGGAAAAAACCCTACTGTTTCAGAAAATCATGCTCTGAGTATTTAAAAGAACATCACTAATTTGAAAAGTGCCTCTTATTAAAAATTAGTTATAATAGTTTCAGCTATTCCATATTTGATCTTCTCACAGTAACAAATGGGAACAGTGACTTTCATAAATTTACTAGATACTATCCATTTCCCATAGTGCAAAATACCTAAGCAAGCAACATGAAAACAGAACTAATTATTTTAGAGAAATCAGTGAAACTGCTAACTATATTGTGCTGTCAACATTTATTGACAGAACTACTATGAAAATTCTGAAAAAAAACCAAGGGAATTCTTTTATCTCTTTCACTTGCAGAAATCTTCATTTTTAGCTAAAACAACAGTCGGCCAAACATTTTCAGTACGTCAATTGTGTTTATGTTGTTGATTTAAAAGTGTAAATTAATTCTGCACAAATAATATTCAGTCTCACCTCAAGTCAAATTTTCTGAATTCCGCTTTTGAAAACAGATACAATACCTGTAGTTTTTATAGGCAAAAAAGGGACCACTTCTTAAAAAGAACTGAAAGCATTAAAAATTCTCCATTATTTCTTTACCACATGTATAGTCTAAAAATTTAATTGTTTTTATAAATTAGAAATTACAAGCAAACATCACCTGGCACAAATTCCACCTACAAATTCCTTCGAGAAAGGTCACACTACAATTGAAAATGTTGTTGTTTAGCCTTACTCTTCTACGAAGTCCCAGCAGCATCATCCAACTAAAGATATCACAAACTTAAGAAAAAGCTATGTGTAAAACTGGACTTCACACTTGTCACTACTCACTCCACCAATGAATACAGTTTGCAAATTAGAAAAAAATACAGCTTCTGCAAACAAGTAATGAATCTGAAACGGCAGTGGCAATGCAGGCTCCCTCTTAGAAACCACTTTTGGTTTACTGTAGTATTTTATCCGTATTTTGTTAGCGCAAGATGTTCACAAGTTAGCTCAAGATCTGAAACCATACTGGGTTCCTTTACTTACATTATATTGATGCAAACTGTATCGCAGCTTTCTCAGTGCTGCTTGACGATCCTCAGCCCAAACAACTAGCTTTGCAATCATTGGATCATAATGAACAGAAACCTCATCACCTAAAATACATAAAAAAAAAAAAAGCTGTAACACTAAACCAATTATTTCTGAAAGCTGGTAATGCATAGTACTGCACACCATATGGCATTAAACTCTGACACAACTGATGGCCAAACTTCTCTATGTTCTTAAAGAACATTAATCTTTAATGATGAGACCTGGCATTTCAATTCCAAGGACAACTTCACTACAGACTTTTGTAGAGGTAACATTACTCAAATTCAGTTTTCGTTATTGCAGTCAGAATGCAGGATTGATAAATTGTGATGAGAATATAATCAGCATGATCCAATGGACAATCACAAGGAAGAGTAATTCTGTAGAGATTTGTCTTTGTTAAAACACCCTGTCAGACAAACTTATTTAGGCCAAAGAGGCAAATGCTTACCAAGAAAAGCTTTTGATGTGAAATATTTCTGATTACACCACTGCCTTCAGTTTTACCTTGTCTGACTCCAGTTTCTATCCTGGTGCAACTATCAGGTGGTGGCGTGGATAAGTGCAACAATGGCCCAGCCCCTGGCATAAAGTTGTTATTAGGGTCTTCAGCATATATTCTAGCTTCAAATGCATGGCCCCGGAGCAGAATCTCTTCCTGCATTAGGGGAATCTTCTCTCCTGCTGCAACCTGAAAACAGTATTTTTTTTTTTCTTTAATGCGGGATCAATATTCTGAAATGCCAGTGTATGAAATATTTAATATCTTTCTTCTAAACATGAACAACTAGAAAGCACATTAAAAAAAGGACAAGGAGAAAAAAAGTGGTAGGTCATAAAAGCCTAATTCTGAAGTTATTCCTTCCTTTTCTCTAGGAGTCACCAGTCAAAGGATTTTGAATTATTATTGTGTAAATCGACTTCCTAATATTTCACACAGCTAAAACATAATGGAAAAACAATCTAACTTTTTTCTACCAGTTATGTCAAAAAATAATTACATTGTTTAAGTTAAAGCCTGGTCAACTAAGGCAAGATTTTATTAGAGAAAAATTGTTCCAAAAGCAGATAATAAAGTGGATTACTGGCAGCCAGCACTACTGGCATAAGCTGTTGATTCTTCTGTATACTGAGGGACCTGTACATTTAAGGGAATGTTATCTCCAAGGGGACTTCTAACAATTTAAGAACCTTTAATGGGGAAGGAAACATCATTTTATTGCTCAAAGGAATTCATATTACAAATACAGGAATACCAACGAATACCAACACCACCCCAGTTTGAGCCTAAAAAACCAGGGAGTTTAGGGACAAAATAGTAACAAGAAGCCTGCTGCAGTTCAACACAGAGGAGGCCCTTTAGCAGGAAGCTACACAATTACCATCTACATGGGAAAATACATGTTCCTATTAAAAAATTTGTAGCAACATTTCATCTTCTTTTGAAGTGTCGGGGGTTTTCCATACTCTGCCTTCTGCCACCAAACTATGGATTTCAGCAGACAGGAGAATGTAACTTAGTCTTCAAAGACAGAGTACTGTACAGATTCACAAAAATAATCTCTCCAAGAACTGACAGACATATTCTATCTATTGACTCATTAAGCCACATGCCAAGACCACTGAACCTTTCCACCTTCTCTCTTTCTCTTTTTTCCAGTATTGTTTGATTCCTGCTCCAACTTGGCACTCAATGCTCAACCCAGATCAGGAAGCCAAAAGTTCCTCCTTTTTGCATCAGCATTTGCCATTTTAGTTTCCTTTCTGGTTATACTAAACACTCCCCCACCATACTTAAGCTCAACGTGTGCTGCTGTCCTCACTTTTGGATTTATCTAACCAGAATTGTTTTTCATTTCCAGTTCCCTAAGGTCCGAAACTTCCTGTTATCATTCAAACATGCGGGTAACCTCTCTGCAAATTGGGTGTGTGAGGAAATGGCCCGTTTCCAGTCCACACAACTATACATTTCTTTTAGAATGTGACTATACTGGTATAACACCAGACACATGTTTCTGTGAACAGTTTTCCTCCTATGGCCTGATCCAAGAATGATTTTTGGGCCAGAGATATATTTGAACTAGAGTTTAAAAAAATTTTCAGCACAGCAAGGGAAAGATGAGGACCCTACTCCTCCTACTTTCCATATTCTCTACAACCTCTCTAAATATACTTTAAAAAACATTTTTTCTCTACACAACTGGAAGAAGACTTTGTTGGAATTCAGAGCATCTACACAATACTCTACAATCAAATACAGTAATACGAGATATTACTTCGGAGCAAAGGAAACTCTACCCAACTAGCTCAATAAATGATGATCTGAAAATGTATCTGGTCTCTCATAGGCAACATCAAAGAGCACTCACTGCTCACCAGACAAGAGGAATTCTACATGTAAAATCAATTAACACTTACCCTAAGCTGCCATTCCACCAAGTCTGTTCCAGTGATCATCTCTGTAACTGGGTGCTCTACTTGCAGTCTGGTATTCATCTCCATGAAGTAAAAATTATGTTGGGAGTCCATAATAAATTCCACTGTTCCTGAAGTATTTAATAAAAGGGCACTTCACCAAAACAAGACTTTTTCAGAATGGACATCTAAGACACATAACAGATTTATGCCAGGACAAGACTATTATTTCTAATCCAGACACACTGAATTTCATTAAATTCTCTACAAATTATCTTAAAGGGTCACACAATTGAGGTCTGAAACCAGAAGGGTTGTTTCCTTGCCCATTTACGCATCCTGTGTATCCTGTGCTGTTTAGCAGCCATTCTCCTCTACAGTAACAGCTGCATTTTGTTAGAGCTCTAAAAAGTGCATCGAGATTCTTTAAAGCATTGTGTATATGTATTGGGCATGTAATTATTTTTTAAAAATAAGTAGCCAAAGAAAGCAGTGAGAAAAGAAAAGTCACAAATAATTTTAGCAGGTTGTTTTTCATCTGGGATAGTGTGGACTTTACAGACAGTGAGTTGTGGGTTTATATTCAAACAGTAAAGCCTTTAAAAAAAACAAAACAAAGTATTATTCTTTGTATGATGGAAAAGAAACTATTTTTCTCTTGCTCTGCTCAAACTTACTAACATTCATAATGCTCACTTTCCAACAACAATCCAGTTGACTGAATTATATGCTCTGAAATTTTTTCATTCTGTTCTTCAGCTGCCACTGGTCTTGAGCTCAGAACAGGTATCCTAGTTTAAATTTGTAATTACATCAGAATTAGCTATGTGATTACTTGCTTGAACCTCAAAAAATAGGGGGATGTGTGTCATAGCCTAAAACAATCAGATGCCATTTCCCTTGAGGCTTAAAGTCTTACTAACTTAAAAGCATACCTCTGGAGCAGCCATACCTCCAGACTTACCTGCTCCCACATAATTCACTGCTTTAGCTGCTTTGACAGCAGCTTCTCCAAGTCTCTTTCGAACTTCAGGATTAATTCCTGGCTGTAAGTAATAATACCAAAGATTATAAATTATTGTGAATTTTGGTGATATTAAACCTATTATGCATGAATATTTGGTGGTATTTAGCAACTGTAGTGAAATCCTTATCAACATTATACTTGAAATCTACATAATTTTTCACTGAGAATCATTTTCTAAAGAAAGTAATTTTTTCAATTAGAACATTTTCTACAGCAAAATTAAACCTAGTACTGAGAATTACAAATAAATTACCACCCGCTAAATAAATTTGATGGGAGTTAGCAATTACTTTAAAAATATGTCAGTTCATAAAAAATATTATAAGAACTTTCTGCTCACCCCTGGTGCCTCTTCAATAATCTTCTGATGTCTTCTTTGCACACTGCAGTCTCTTTCAAACAAATACACTGCATTGCCATGCTGGTCACCAAATACTTGGACTTCAACATGCCTGTTTCATAATAATAAATGTTTCAACATATTTCAATAAAGCCCTAATCCTGTGACTGACTTCACCCAGACTTTGAACATGTACACAGTCCTGTACACTGCAGTAGGACTTCTTACAGGTTTAAATGTCCACCCTCAAACAGCCAAAAATGTAGCAATAAGGCTACTATTATGCAGGGTTTCAACTGTTTTAGACTTCTGCAATCTCCTAAATGAAATAGGATTCTACATGCCAGCTACTGCAGTGAAACCTCATGGGCCACAGGATAAACAAGATACATACCTAAAGGCTGCTACCTCTTTATTAGCTATTTTATTAAAATAAAACTAAACCCACTTCACTTTTATTTGATAATGATGATTTCCCTCATAATTTACCATGTAGCAATTCACAAGAGGCAGCAGCCCTGGCTCAGGAACAACATTGTTTATTTCAACACGCAATTTCAGAGGACAACTATTAGGTGGTAGAACTTCATTCTGTGTATAAAACTATAAAAAAATCTGTCACCTTTCTGATAATCCTCTGATGCTGGCAAAAGAAATTTCCCAGGAATTTAATGAGATTTTTCTCATGCCCATCTGCAGCATAAGCAGGCCCTCAGTCTGTTTAGAATAAATGCTTCCTTTATTGTGATGCTTCAAGAAAAACAGATGTACAGTACAAGAGTATCAAATAGACCTCTGTGAGAAGTTCTTTATAAAAAATAAATTAGCTCGGTTTCACAGGTCAGGCATGAGCTAAAGACTACCACTTCAAATCACTATCTATCAAAATAGAGAAAGATTAAATAACTAGTTTAGGACACCTGAGGGCAGCAGAAACACCATGACAGCCTGATTCAGGTCTGTAGTTTAAGTGCTATGCTTAAGTACTACTACTGTGTTCAGTTTTGGGCCCCTCACTACAAGAAAGACATTGAGGTGCTGGAGCGTGTCCAGAGAAGGGCAACAAGGCTGGTGAAGGGTCTGTAGCACAGGCCTTACGAGGAGCGGCTGAGGGAACTGGGGTTGTTTAGCCTGGAGAAGAGGAGGCTGAGGGGAGACGTTATTGCTCTGTACAACTCCCTGAAAGGAGGTTGTAGTGAGGTGGGTGTTGGTCTCTTCTCCCATGTAGTTAGCGATAGGACGAGAGGAAATGGGCTCAAGCTGCGTCAGGGGAGGTTTAGGTTGGAAATTAGGAAAAATTTCTTCACGGAAGGAGTGGTCAAGCATTGGAACAGGCTGCCCAGACAGGTGGTGGAGTCACCATCCCTGGAGGTGTTCAAAAAATGGGCAGACGTGGCACTTTGGGACATGGTTTAGTGGGCATGGTGGTGTTGGGTTGATGGTTGGACTGATGATCTTAGAGGTCCTTTTGAACCTTAATGATTCCTAGTTTTACTTTCATTAAAAAATTATCCAGCCACCAAGCCAGGAAACATGAAATTACTACTCTCCCCTTAATTGGTTTAGTGGTGGACTTGGTAGTGTTAGGTTAATGGTTGGACTGGATGATCTTAAAGGCCTTTTCCAACCTAAACGATTCTATGATTCTACTATAAAGTGATTTTTTTCCTAGATGTAAATCAAGTTTAGAAAGCTTACTCAAGGAGGAATATCAATGTCATTAAACATCACTGCCATGTCTCCCAAACAGTGGTATTTTAATTCTTATCATTCAAAACCAAGTCAGTACAAGAAATTCAATACATTATAAAAAGTTTTGACTAAATTAACACCTGCCATAGTGCAAATAAAACATACAAGACCAATTTTCATCCTACTACTAAACCAGTTCTGTTTATTTAACAGTAGAATAAACATTAGTGTTTATGTTAAACATCGATTTCTCACCTTGGATTATCTACAAATTTCTCAATGAGCATTGCATCATCATTGAAAGACTTCTTTGCTTCCCTCCTGGCTGATTCTAGTTGGTCCAGAAACTCCTTTTCTGAATGAGCAATTCTCATGCCCTAAAATACAAAACAACAAAAAAAAAGCATATCTAAATGGCTACAAATACAGTACACAGTAAAAATCCTTGCTGTACACAAACAGGTACATGACTAAAACAGCAAGAAATGAGCTTAACAATAACACTTTTCTCTTCTTTCTTAAACTTTAGCAAAATTGTGTATAAAGTTCCAATAAGATATTAAGTCCCATTGAAAGCGCCACTAGAAATGTAAAAAAAAAAATTATCATTCCATTGATATGGATGAGTACAAAATTCTATTTTATTCTTAAATATCATAGAAATTTTCCAAGAGTGGCAGAGAAAAACTGATTTCATTAAAAATAAATACAGCCATTTTGGAAATAAGTAGAATTCTCTATCATGCCATTTTTATAGAAATTTATTTCAGAGTAAAATCAGATTTAGACAAGGAATTCACCATACATTAAAAAGTGTCTAGACCCAAATACTTAAATGGTATTTCTAATCACTTCTTATGCAAGATTTAAAACTGTTAGCAAAAAAAGTCACAGAAGCTATCACAAAGTAACAATTTAAAGTCATCTAGTTTCACACAAACAAATCCATAGGACAACTTTTCTGCTTATTTGAATTACTGGAGATCTACTGAAATAAACAAAACTCTTCCAATTTATACCAGCTCATTATCTTGTGCGTGGCTGCACAACAAATGAAAATGAGATTTCGTAGTGCCCAACTGGACATTAATAACAAATTTTAACTGAAAGTAGTTTTCCAGTTTCTTTGTTTTGAAAGACTTCTTTTAGAATATTCAGTTACAGATACCAAGACATGACAACTTTACACCATATGATAAACAAATTAGTTTCTTTACCTTTCCTCCACCTCCACGAACAGCTTTAATCATTACTGGATATCCTATTCTCTTGGCATGTTCCTTTAGACACTCATCTGATTGATCTTCTCCATGATAACCTTCAACAACAGGAACGCCAGCAGCAGACATTATAGCTTTGGAAGTGCTTTGACAGAATAGTTTTATGTTTAGAATGATAATAATAATTTTTTTTCTTACTTTAAGCCCCAAACCTGTATATGTTCCCAATGTTAATTCTCCTCACAAAAGTAGTTCCACTGACCTCAATGGGACTACTTAAATAAATGGGTTACATATGATTTGATTGTAGTTAATCAAATGTTTCAAATAGGGATTTTTTTCTCCAAGCCCTCCACATAAAAGTAGTCCGTTTCAGGCTTACTGTTCTTTCCTATCTTTTGACCCACAGTATGGAGGCCAAAACCTAACATTTTCAAACACCACCACCGTATCCTGCCAAAACTGTATTTAAAATTGTACAAAGGCAAAAAACTCTTTTCATGATACAGGCTCGATTCACACCACGCATAAAACACTCAAGCATAACAACTGTAACTTCAAATATGCATGCAAAACTAGTTAAATTACAGAGGTAATTTACTCTGACATTAGGAAGTGATAAAAAATGCTCTGAAATTAATATTACATGGTTCATGTGTTGGTAATAACTTTATTTCCATATTCTTGATTTATTCTTCATACCCTGGAAACATTTCTTTGATCTAAGTAACTAAGAGTAAGATCCTCTGTGATGAACAGAACTTATCACCCCAATTTACATGAGCCACAATAACCGCTGATGATATGGCATTTCTTTTCCACCGTTCTTTTGACCAATATACAAGATGTCCAATCTGACAGCTGAACCCTTACCTATGTAACATTGGAACGCCCCAATTCTGGAAAACTAGAATCGGTTAGATATTTAATTATCAAAATCCTAATAACTGAATAATCATGATTGTTTCTATGTCTGTAGGAATCCCACATCTATAAATCTGGAGCTTACTCCTTTGAAGAAAGCCATAAAAATAAAAGACAATGAAAACTGACAGAATAAAACAGTTATGGAGCAACTGGTCATTTGTTAACAAAATCAGCTTTGCCAAACTGTAAATTGCATAACCATGTAACAAATCAGAAATAGATACCTCTTAATACCCATATCTCTGATAGCAGATGAAGGCGGACCTATGAAGATGATTCCCTCTTGCTTGCACAACTCTGCAAACTCTGTGTTTTCTGAGAGGAAACCATAACCTGGATGAATAGCCTAAAATAGAATAATGTTACCAGCCTGTTTTTGTATCAGTTTAGCTTAGAAAACCCTGAAACTTCAGTAGAGTACTAAGGAGACACATGACAGAAACACCATGGGTAAAAATAAAGAACTAAAGAGCATGGAAGTAACGGAAGATTTAAGGCCCGATCTATTTACCTGTGCTGCTGAGACCTTGGCCACCTGCATTATTTTCTCCATGGCTAAGTAACTCTGCTGTGAGGGTGCTGGACCAATGCAATATGCTTCATCTGCCTGTTACAGAAAAAATACATAGAATTCAGACTGTTTATTAGATAATAAAAAGCAACTTTAACTGAATTTCTGAGCTAATTATACTGTTTATCAGACTGCTAGCATGCAACAGTTTACATCACTGCCTCTCTTCATGGAGAGACTCAACTGGGTGAAATAAATTCTGACTTTCTTCCCAAAAATCAGAGTCCATTCTCTAACCCCCAGTGGCTACTCTGGAGTTGGAGAGTCAAACTTCAATGCACTTTGTGTAAAGTGGTCAGGTGCTGAGGCAGAGACTAGGCAAACTTTTATCGATTCAAGGAAAACTTGTAAGTAAATCTACAGAGGTGAAAATCAACTGCATTAGTACACACATCTACTTTCACATTAAACTAATTAATGAGAACTACTGTGGTGAACGAACGTTAATCAGAAATTTAAGGAATATGCCTCACCATTGCTACATGCATGGAATTTCTGTCTGCTTCACTATAAACTGCTACAGACTTCACACCCATTTTCTTTGCTGTTCGCATCACTCTGCATGCAATTTCTCCTCGGTTTGCGATAAGAATCTTCCCTATGTTGTGACCTCCTGTTTAAAAGGATGAAGCACAGTAAGTGATTTTTAAAAGAAATATATTGTTAAAAACATTTCCCGAAATAAAGAAATTTTAAAATTCAGATTTCTTTTTCATCATTTATAGTGTTTATAGCATTTCTTTCAATAATGAAAAACACATGCTTCGCCCAAAAGCATTTCCATGTTAGTCTTGGAATTCTTTCCTTAGAGTCCTTATGCAGAAGTATGTTTAATTTTAATCTTTTTTTTCTTTTTAGAATTCAAGAAATATATTCTAACCCTAAAACAGCACTTAAACATAAAAGTTGATGCTTATATTTTTCCTGTGTACTTTCTGGACCAACTAGGAAACAATTAACACCTGCCCCCGAAGTGATTCACATTTCTTTCGAGAGCACTATTCCCCATTGATACAGTCACAAAGAAATAACAAGGTATGAAGTTTTTTGGTTGGTTTTTTTTAAAACAGTGACTTACAAGCTTCTATTAAGTCTCATGACAGCAGTTAAAACATGGTAGAAATATAAGGCGAGCACAAATATTTTTAACTTTCCTTCATATACTGTTTAAATACCATTATGCCTAAAAAACAATTCTCACAGACTTTGCAACATTTGTATCAGAAAAGGACTCAAGAAGAAAACATCACAAAAATAAAGTTTTCATTAAGTTGAGTATACCTAAATATGACAGATAAAATTATTCAAACTGTTGTTTACACAGTAAAGATGACTTCTGCTAGGTCACCTACAGACTACTGTTTTTAAAAACTATACAAATATTGAATATTTGTTTTAAAACACCTAGTTTTTCAGCAACTAATGGTCTAAAACTAATTGTAAAATTATCTACATTACACAAGCAATTAAACCTAGTAGCTAAAGAAGCTGCACTTCATACCTATCGTTGAGGCCCATTTCACAAATCTTTGTACTTCGTTCCATTGCCTGTACAATTATAAACACACAGAAGTGTTACAAAAGTATACAAAGAAGTGGCAACTGACCTACTTTTATTTTCAGGTGAGAGGAGGACAGCACTAAAACATCTCTGAAGCTTTTGATACAACTATTTACACAGAACATATTGAAGTACAACAAGGAAGGTTGTACAAACTTCACCAGATCTCTCCTTAGATATTTTCATTTAGACACCACAGAAATTATCCCCTTGCCTTTTTAGCAGCAAATTGGAATAGTCAACATACTTTTTTTAAAAAAAAAAACTCTTTAAGTGGACAGAACAGCCACCATCTGACAGTTATTAGAGAAAGCAACTCAAAGTATCCAGGAAAGAAGACATAAACAACCACAAAACAGAAAAGCTTAAAAAGGAAATAGGACTTGTGTATATAGGGAAAAGGTGCAAGAGTGTTAAAGATAACAAGAAAGAAGAGCTATGAAGGGTTTCAGAAATTAAAAGTTAAACCTCAAACGACTAATACTAAAGAAATCTGATAGAGAAGGCTAAGTGGCTGGAAGAAACGCTAGAAGTAAACTCCTGGAACTGGTTTAATTAGCATATAAATCAACTTTGGAATCTTGGATCAAGTCCAGCAATTCTTATAAACGATGTCAGACAAAAAGACACGAGACGTCCTTGACACCACACACCATAAGCTCGGTTTCAGTAACAAGAGGGGAAATTAGTGCATCTCCTAAACTAATAACGAGCTGTCACGGTCACCAATTCCTCCTGCACAGGATTACAGGCAGCAGAGGGGTGGCTGTGGCGGCTGCTCAGCGGTGGTTATCAGACCCCAGGCACTCAGGCCGGTTTCGCGGAACCTGTACCAGTTGCTAAAACCATGCTGAAACGAGGGGCGTTTCTTCGCTCTTTCTTTCCACAGGGAAGCTCGGGGTACCTGTACCCGCCCCCCCTCCA